AGGACCTGGGGAGACCAGTTGTTGGAATTTTAGTAGGAGCTGGGAAGGCCAGTTGTTGGAGGTTTTGGAGGAATTGAGGAGGCCAGTTCTTGGAGGTTTAGAAATACCTGGGGAAAACAGTTTTTGGCATTTTAGGAGGACCTGAGGAGACCAGTTAATGGAATTTTAGGAGGACTTGGGGAGACCAGTTAATTGAAGTTTAGGAGGATAGGAAGACCAATTGTTGGAGGTTTTGTAGGAAATGTTGTCCTATTCTGGTCTGATGGAACATTTTAGCTGTTCATCAATCCTTGGTCGTCTTTGCTGGATTGGAGCAGATGTTGTTCTAAAACCACTTTACATCTTTTTGCATTGACAGAGCCTTTCCAGATGTGTAAGCTGCCCATGCCGGCGGCTTTAACGCACTCCTATACCATCAGCGAGGCAGGCTTTTGAAGGGTGGATGCTTCCTCTCCTCTTTAGTATGGACTGTGGTCTGTGGTTTCTAAAATGATTTTCAGATTATTCAGGGAACTGAGTTTACAGATAATGAGCTGCGGGAGTGTTCCTGAGCCAAGAACAGAACCAGAACCAGACCTGGTTTTAATGCAGTGGCCCCTGAGGACCTTGACCATTGAGCTCAGAGATTTCTACAGATCCTTCTAATCTGTGGATCAGATTGTGAACTGGAGATGATGGAGAGTAAATTCTTTCAGTCAGGAAATTTATTGTGAAATTAATTCAGAAGCTTTATTCTGAAGGAGTTCCATTAGTTTTAGACACAGTTTTTCACAGAATGGTGAGCCTCTGCCCATTTCTACTTCTAATGATGTTTACCATGTTCTATTCTTAACAATATGTTGTTTATTACATTTTACACAATATCCCAACTTCTTGTTTTCCCCAAATTGAGATTGTATTAATTCTTTCTAAGACCTTATATGGTTTAAATAGTTTAATGAATATCCTCGTTTTTGTTTGTTTTCTCTTATTTCAGTTTAAGTTTCCTTCCTGTCTTCATCTCTTCACTCATCCCTCCCTCCTTTCCTTTCCTTACCTTGTCTTTCCTTGTTTCCTCTCCTGCTCCCTGCAGGCTTTCTTCAGATAACCCCGGAGGGTTCTCCTCAGGCCCAGCGGAGGGGTGAGGTGGGAGGCGAGGCCGACGTCTCGGGGTCTTTCTGCCTCCACTCGTCAGGGCTCCAGCTCACCACCCAGCAGACGTCTGAAGAACGCCAAGTCTCCTCCACGGAGGAGGGAACCGTCACCACGGTGACCCAGACCACCCAGACCACTCAGCGCCTGGTTACCAGTGAAACGCGAACAGGTGTAACAACAACAACAACTCGCCAAGTGACAGACTTTTAACTCCTGAGGATCTGAGAGAAACATTTTCATTTTTGTTGTTGTGTTTATTTAATCAGGTGAGGTTGCAGTGTTTTTGTAAACTGTTGTTGAAAAATTCTATATTTTATATTTTTATTAGTTCAGCTATGATCGTGATGAGATAACTTTTTGTCAACCAGCATTACTGTCAGTATTACAGATTTATATTTTATATTTTATTTTTTCTTATTTTGGCTGCTTCCTTCTAAAGGTGCTAAAGACTTGGCAACTGTTTTTACGCCGGCTGTCCTTCCTGATGCGACCACAGACCACCGAGCTCCTCAGCCTTCTGTGTGGAGCAGAGAGCTGGTGGGGGCTAAGGGGCCCTGGGGTAAATGAGGGTGGAGGCAGGTGGGGGTACTTCACCTTTCCCACACACATTTTGATGTTGTCAGTCCGGGGGTCGAACCAGCGACCTTCCGATCATCCTTCTCTATCCTCTGCGCCACCACTCCCCTCGCTGTCAGTATGACAGTAACACACAGAGTGTTTCTTGTTTTCACTTTACATTTGATTACTTTAGCTTGTTTTGTTAGTTTAGTCCCAATAATTGATGCAGTTTTGTTTGGTTTTGAGAATTCCATTTTGAACCTGAACCTGTCAGGTTTTTAATTATTTATCGCCGTTTCTGTGCAAAACCCATTCTGAGAAAGTTGAGTCTTTGTATGAAGTGCAAATAAAAACAGAATGCAACGATGTGCGAATCTCACAAACACAAATTCTATTCAGGGTGGAACATAGTAAACCTATCAAACGTTGAAACTTTGAAATTGTACCGTTCTAGGAAAAAGTAAGAAAATTGCGTGTTTGATGACGGCGACACACAAAAAAAGTGAGACCGGAGCAACAAGAAGCTGTAAAAACCCGTGGTACGAACACGAAACAGCCAGAGGAGCATTTAGTAACGTGATCATCAGCAAGTCTGTAAGGACTGGACGCAAAAAGAGCATCATGGAGAGTCTGACTTCCTCACAAGTACAGATGGTCCGAGGTTTACCAGTCTGTGAAAAAGTGCTTCTAAAGGAGTGAAACAGTTTCAGAATAATGTTCCTCCTCTGGTCCTCCAAAACCTCATCAACTGGCCTCCTTGGGTCCTTCAAAACCTCCAACCACTGACCTCTTCAGGTCTTGGAGGTTCACAGACTGTTGTTAGAACAGGAGCTGCTTAGAGTGAAATGTGGACCTGAAACAACTTTAAAGATACTTTTTGCTGCTATAATATTCTAAATTACTTTATTTTGTCCAAAAATGGTACAATTAGTTTCATCATTTGATATGTGTGATGGAAACATATTTACCGATCTGCTTCATGGTACGTTGCAGTTTTTATGTACAATATTACACTTAATAATTCCTTGTATGACTCTATGTCATTGTGAAACTGAACATTTGATCAAGTGTGATAATGGTCATTTTGTGACAATCTATGTAGGTTGAAGCAATCTATGTAGGGTGCAACAATCTACAGGTATGTGGGTTGGATCAATCTATGTAGACTGGAGCAGTCTATGTGGGTTTGAGAAATTTATTAAGGTTGGAGCAATCTGTGTGAGTTGAAGCAATCTATGTTGACTGGAGCAATCTATGTGGCTTGGAGCAATTTATGTAGGCTGGAGAAATCTATGTGTGTTGGAACAATCTATGTAGGTTGGATCAATCTATGTAGGCTGCAGCAATCTGTGTGGCTTGAAGCAATTTATATAGGCTGGATAAATCTATGTGGGTTTGAGCAATCTATGTAGGTCGGAACAATCGATGTGGGTTGTATAAATCTATGTAGACTAGAGCAATATATGTGGGTTGGAACAATCTATGTAGGCTGCAGCAATCTATGTGGGTTGGAACAATCAATGTAGGTTGGATCAATATATGTAGGCTGGAGCAATATATGTGGCTT